ATTACTTCCTGTCAAGCATGGAGTACCGCAGGGCTCTATATTAGGCCCTACTCTGTATATTCTCTACAGCGCTGACCTAACTAACATCATTACAAATTGCAAATTCCACATTTATGCAGATGACCTACAACTATACCTCTCCTCTACTCCTGAGAATTTAGATGTTGCAGTAGCCGAAATAAATGAAGACCTTGACAAACTGGCTATTTGGTGCGAGTCTAATTGCCTTGTCCTAAACCCCATAAAGTCAAAATGCATGGTATTGGGTACCAAAAGGAATATCAAAAAACTCCAAAACATGCCATTAAACATAATTGTCAATAATGAAGTTATTGAAAGGGTAGATGAAAGTAGGAATTTGGGATTGATTGTGGATAGTCAGCTTAATTTCGAGAGCCATATTACTGAGTGTGTTCGTAGTTGCTTTTATAGACTCAAATTACTATATAAAATAAGACCATATTTACGTGAGCAACTTCGAATCAATCTTTGTGAGTCACTGATACTATCAAAATTTAATTACTGTGACACAGTATACGGACCTTGTATTCTGGCTAGAACCGCTAAATTAGTTCAGCGTGTCCAGAACGCCTGCGCGCGCTTCTGCTTCGTTATACCCCCGCGAACTCACGTGACTTCATTTCTCAATAACTCGAATTCACTGAAAATGGAGGCACGCAGAAAGTTTCATCTATGTAATCTGCTATTTGGTGTTATAAAATCCGGTAAGCCAATTTACCTATACAATAAACTTACCTGGGCCCAAGATCACAGTGCATATATGATAAGAGCTTGCAGGCCGATTTTTAAGATACCGGTTCATAACACAAGAGCGTTTCGTGGATACTTCAAGTTCGCCGCCACACGGTGCTGGAATGATCTCCCTCCGCCTCTGCGTGACCTGAAAACAATTGGCACATTTAAAAACCACCTAAAAAAACATCTTTTCACAACTCAACAGCAGTAGCAGGATCAATTAAAACTTACCAGCGGTTCTTTCACGTCGTGCATGCAAAGTTTAGGAAATAGGTATCCGGCACGGTGTGGCTTGCGGTTTAATTTTGGGCCGTCTTACACGATTCCTCGGAGTTATTAAGTCACTCTTATTGCAAACCAACGTGACGTGACAATGGGTACGTGGCATCCATCCACTTCACACAATGATGGAAAGGCACAAAGTACAATACACACCACAAATGTGTCCGTGATGCTAGCGTACCCACGATCAATATACGGTTTTTCGTTATGCCATTAAATACTGCGTAAATAGTGCCAAATTAGTGTATAAATAAAAAAAAGAGTGCCCCTTTAATTTAAGAAATAAAGACCATTTTTACTGTGTACGCTACCATGACGTCAAGCTAGCGTACCCATGGCCGACCCCAAGAACGGCATATATTTAAGCAACAAAATTGACACACAAAAATAGTTCGCAAATAGTGCCCTGAAACAAAATTTCATAATCAATACTCTTAAAGTACCAAAGATATTGAACTAAACATTCTTAGCTGGCGTCAACCTGGCGTACCCATAATAGTTCTCATAGAAAATGAACTTTTATCGTTATCAATTCTATATGAATAAATAGTGTGTCAAATAGTGCCACTAACAGTAAAAGTATTTTATGTGAATCCGCATCACAACAATACATAAAAAGAATCTTAAATTCTAGGAACAAATGTATTGTAGTACAGTTGCACACAAAATTAATTTATGCACTAAGAAATTATCTATATATGTATTTTTACTAAAATAAATAGGCACTTTTTATAAAAAGATATTTTATTTCAATTCGAATTCACCAATCATAAATTGATATAAGAATTTCAACCTACCTACTAAGTACCTTACTTACCTACTATACTACGAAAATATTATCACTTCTGTACATGACTGTACTTTATATATAAAAATAATTTAATTGCTTTTTTTATATTGTTTTACTGTGAATTCACATAAAATACTTTTACTGTTAGAGGCACTATTTGACACACTATTTATACATATAGAATTGATAACGATAAAAGTTCATTTTCTATGAGAACTATTATGGGTACGCCAGGTTGACGCCAGCTAAGAATGTTTAGTTCAATATCTTTGGTACTTTAAGAGTATTGATTATGAAATTTTGTAAAGCCAGGGCACTATTTGCGAACTATTTTTGTGTGTCAATTTTGTTGCTTAAATATATGCCGTTCTTGGGGTCGGCCATGGGTACGCTAGCTTGACGTCATGGTAGCGTACACAGTAAAAATGGTCTTTATTTCTTAAATTAAAGAGGCACTTTTTTTTTTATTTTTACACTAATTTGGCACTATTTACGCAGTATTTAATGGCATAACGAAAAACCGTATATTGATCGTGGGTACGCTAGCATCACGGACACACCACAAATTGCAGTTTATCAATCTTAATGCATAGATTAAGTATCATATTGCACAGACTACTCGTACTCGTACGTAGTATTTAAGATACTACGTATATTGACATTGGTGTCGATTCTGAAATGATTCTCTGAGTCTGAATATGAATTTGACGGCAGTGTATCCTTGTCATTCTCTATACAAAATGATAGGGGGGGACTGTTGTTGGGTTTGGTCTTGGGTTTGGAGAGTCATGACAGAATCGACACCATTATCGGATGCGGTGCGGGTGCGTCGGAGTGCTTTTTGTTGCTTGTTAGCGCCTAATACGTCCTCGCACAGGCCCTGCCAGAATACCAGCGCTGATACAGTGTGAGAGTATTCTCCCACTGTGTCAGCATAAGCTGAGGCAGGGTCCTGATTGGCCGTCTTAGTTTTATGTTGATATTTTTTGTTTTTAGGTTAAGTTCCTCTTTTATTTTTTCTTTAAATTTATAGTATTTTTATTATGTAAGATGGCCAATAAAGGTTTTTTCATTTCATAATTTTTTTTACAACTGTTATATTTATGTTTATATTTTTTAACGTTACTCCAAAAAAAATTTTCAGTTCTGATATCTCAAACACATCCAACAGTTGGTGTTGCGTTGGTTAAACATAAATTTCTAAAAATCTTAGCAAACATCTCAATTTTATTGAAACATTTTGTTACGTTAATATTTAATTAATAATTTGCAATAAAATAATATTGCGACTATAAATTGAGATGTAAGCTACCTTTTAAGTGGGATCAAACTGTACACGATGTGCAAATTTGATTAAAAATCGGTTCAGTAGTTTAGGAGTCCATTCCAGACAAACAACGTGGCGCGTAATTTATATACAGTGGTGGTCATATAATTAGAAATACTTCTTATGTATAAAGGAAGTATAACTTCAAAGTACAAATGTTCATAAAAAATATATACACATTCAATAATCAATAATCATGCAAAAATATAGCCACTCAAACAAAAATATCATTAAATGCATAAAATATAAAACATATCTTACTTTTAATTATAAAATGAGTCTTACACGTGTAGGAGTTTATTTTCTGTCACTGGCTAATTATACATTAATTAGAAACATTTAAATAAAGCATCCATAACTCGTCCTTTTTTTGAAATTGAAAAATAATATTTCTTTCTTGGCTTTTACTATTATTTTGGAGGCAATTCAAAATTTAATCTGAATTTTAATTTTTCTAAATTGGCAAAAATAAAAATTGTGTCGCGTCAACTAGGCAAATAATTGTTAATTTACGTATTAATCATAAGTGGGCGTACAGAAGAAAAGCTGAGCTTTTAAAATGTTCTGTTAAGAAAGTTTTTAATGCAATTGATTATTATAAAACACATGGAACTGTTGAAAATGTTCTCAGAAAGGCTTGGTAAGAAAAGCTTCCCCCAGAGAAGATAAGCTAATCGTTCGTGTTGCTAAAAAAATACCCAAGTATAGGCTCCAACCAGATTAAGAATGAAGTTTTTTCGCCTGATGACTCGTCAAGACTGATACGCCAAAGATTAATGGAAGCTTAATTGTTTCGCTCGAAAGGTACCGCTTCTTACAAAGCAACACCAAGAGAAGCGATTATTATTCGCTAAAAAATATGTGAATTGGACGGTACGAGCATGGTAAAAAGTGTTATTTTCAGTCAAACAAAAAAAATGGTAAATTCCGATGGAAAGCGCTATGTTAGACGTCCTGTAAACAATGCTTTTAATTATAAATACACAAGGAGTATAGTCAAGCTCGTTGGCGGTAACATTAAAGTTTGGGGGTGTTCTTCCGGTTGTGGAGCTGGACCCATTAGGAAGATTGAAGATACAATGGATCAATGGCAATACAAAAATATCGTAGAACACACAATGATTTCCTACTCGGACGATCATTTGCCTGTAAGCTGGATCTTTCAGCATGACAATGACCCTAAACACACGGCCAATAGCGTCAAATGTTTCCTTAGCGAACAGTGTATATCCGTTTAAGACTGGCCAGCAAATAGTCCGGATTTAAACCCGATAAAAAATCTCTGGTACACCAGTCTAAACGAACTATATGAAGCATTTGTTGAAGCATAGAATTCAATCCCCCTAGAAAAATGTATGAAATTGATTGAATCAATGCCACGTTGTTGCAGTGCTGTTATTGGGAATAAGGGATACGCCACTAAATATGAATTATAACTATTGGTAGGCTACAGATAGTAGCTATTTCGTAAATAACAATACTAATTACTAATACCTAAAAAAAATGTTTTTTACACTCTTTTGTTGTTATTTCTAATCAGTTGACAATTATTGTTCATACCTTAAAACTCATTTAAATGTTTGTCCGTGATGTAATATTGAAACTGCACTTGTGTAGTGTGATTTATATTGTTTTTCTAATAAATGATAAATGTTGAACATATTGTTGTCCTATTTATTGTTTAATTTCAGAATAAAAACGATTACGGTGAAGTATCTTAAATAATGTCAAGGACCGTTGATAGTGTTTGTAATTATACGACCACCACTGTATATTTAGATAACCTGTCACTAGCAAAACTGTTAAAACGTAGACATAATTTATGTGAGTTGTAATTATTTCCAGTTTGCTGATTGAACATGTATTGAAAGAGAGCAACTGTTCAGTTTTCAATATCGATTGTACACCGATGTTGGTACCCTTGGACATCATAGAGGAGTTGAAAAGGGTAAGCACTTTTACGCTCATTAGCTAATTTGTGTATATTGACATATTATACTGATTTGTGACTCGAGTTTTTTACTCTTAATATAAAGTGATAAGTTATCATAATATGAAATTTACAAAAAAATACAGAAATAAAGTTAAAAATCACTCCCATGTACTTCATTGCCAAAATGAAAAATGTGGCATTTAAGTCCTTATAAAAACTAATAGCAAGAATTGGTTAATTCAGTACTTACAAAATGACAATGCCACCATTAACAGTAATATTAAATTTATATAATATACGATTTTATTTCTCATGCTGATTTAATTATTACTTTGTAAAACCAGCGGATTCAAAATAAATATCCAAATAATGTGTACCTACTGTTTCCGTTAGGAGAACACCGAAAACATGGCATATGCGTTTTGTTGCACGGCAAACAATAAATTATCAATCAAGTTTTCTAAAAATATCGTTTTCTTTTTTAATATTATGCATCTCATGCGTATTTTGTTTATTAATATAATTATTTTATGTTTATAAATAAGTTTTACAATTCTAGTAGCTTTTTTTATGCGCATACACATTATTAAGTGGTAAGTACCTATATGAAACTAAACGCCATTCTGGATTGATATCCTTTTGTTTGTCATTTCCTTTTCTTATGACTGTGGTGCGGTGAGACAAAGCGAACGAAATAAAACGAAGACGAATCGGGTGTTTTGGAAATTACGACCTTCGCTTTTGAATACGGACTCGATCACGCCTTCTAAACGACCTTGTGGCTTTGTATTTATGATACCGATTTATTGTTTGTGATTTGGAACCATTTTGAAATGCATAAAATGCGAAGGCATGTCGTTTGTACACTATCATCTACAATGCGGACACTGTTGGATAGATACACCGCAGCGTTCTTAGATAATATATTGATATCACTAGATGAGTAAATGATATAAAGTTAAAATAAGTGTTTAATTTTTAAACAATCACAAATGTACAACCCTTGCTCTTAAGCGCTGTAAGCAAAGTATTAGTAATAATAATACACTTCTACTAGTAATGCATGCTAATGCTTCACTATGGCACTATTTGTAAGCTAGAGGTTTTACTAGATGTAGAAGATTCCAAAAAATGGACACATTGTTGCTTGTATGTATAAAATATGTCTGATGTAATGAATATATATATTTTTTATTCGTTATTATTACAAATATTTACACTATGAAGAGAACGATTCGAATGTTTGCCTTTAATGAATAAACTCGGAAACCTTCACAGCCGGTTTATAATCGAAAAACAGGCGAACAGGTACCTAGAAACTACCTATTAATTAAAGTTATGAAAGCGCCTACTTAATAATTTATAGCAATTCCAATTTTCTGCTCAATTACAGCTCGAGAAACGTATGATAATTGTACTCTTTGTTAGTATATTATTAAAAACCGCAATTTCTAGAGAATTTACAACTTAACTATTTTGATTCCTAATATTACAGCTATCAAATGTCATTTATAGTATTCGTGTACACCAATTTTATCGAGTGGGGCAAACTTCTATAGAACTTCTGGCACTGTCCTTTCGTTTATAGAAATCAGGATTACCTACTTATTCATCGTGTGTTTACTTTTGTAATCTTCGTTAATATTGTATTACAGTACTAGTAGCATAGAAAAATTATAGTGCGATGCAAATTAAATGGCGGCTGTGAATTTAGCGCAGGTCCCGTCGCAGTAACGAAATCTAGGGAGATTTAGTTAACTACTGCTAACCTAACAACCTAGAAATTGCACTATATTATTAACATTATAACGAACATAATGCTTCCTAGGCTGCTCCACCCAGTTGACTCTATGTCATGCCGCCAGTTTACATGGCTATTCGTATTTGCTATTTATAAATTTGATAACTTCATCTTCTTATTCTTCGCTATAGGACAATGCTGTCAAAATGACAAGTAGCAAACACAAATAGCCATGTTAAATGCTAAAATTAGATTTAAAGGCATACATACATTTTTTATTGTACTATACAGAACAACGTAGTCCGAGCCGGTGGCAGTGGAGGGGGTGGGAGTGGTAATGGGGGATCAAGCGGGGGCGAAGTGGCACTAGTGGTGCGCGGCTTGCATCGCACTGCCGACGACGCGTGGAAATGTTCTCCAGTGCACCAGTTCTTGTTACAGGTACTTTTTTTATGTTATAGGGGGCATACGAGCAGACGGCTCACCTGATGGTAAGTGATCACCGTCGCCCATGGACACTTGCAACACCAGGAGTATCACAAATGCGATGCCGGCCTTTAAGGAAGGAGTACGCTCTTTTTTTGAAGGTTTTTGGGTCGTATTGGTCCGGAAACACTGCTGGTGAGAATATATTCCACAGTTTTACTATAATATATGTACAGAATTAAGAAAAATGAAAAATGGTAAAGCATCAGGGGAAGACGTAGTACTTACAGAATATCTTAAGTATGGTGGCAAACCAGTGATGAAGCAACTGCAGCTGCTTTTCAACAAAGCATTGTTCGAAGGAATGACTCCAAAGACGTGGAAGAATGCGGTCGTTATTTTGCAACACAAAAAAGGTGATGTCACCAATTTAGGAAATTACAGGCCAATTTCGTTACTCCGTCACATATACAAGCTTTTTACCAAAATAATCACTCTGCGTCTTACTGCTAGACTTAACGCTTACCAACCTAGAGAACAGGCGGGCTTAAGGTGTGTGGATGATGTATTTATAGTAAGACAGGCTATAGAAAAGTGCAATGAATATAATCTGCCAGTTGTCCTTGGTTTTGTCGTCTACGAAAAAGCTTTTGACACTGTGGAACATTGGGCTGTCATAAATGCACTTAAAAAGAGAAAAAGAGTCATATAGATACGAGGTATATCGATGTGCTTAAAGAGATTTACAATGCAGCCACACTTCAACTCAAGCCCCATGATCTTACGGAACACATCCCTGTAAAGATTGTATTTGGAGCAGCTCATTACACTCGATAAAAGCGGGCAGGCTAGAGAAATCGACCGTCGTATTGGAGTGTGTTGGGCAGCGTTAGGCAAATTATCCGACATCTTCAAAAGTAAGATGCCACATTTCCTCAAACGTCGCGCATTCACTCAATGTGTTCTTCCTGTTCTGACTTATGGAGCCGAAACCTGGACTATGACTGCAACATGTCTACTCCATGCAAGTCGCAGTGGCGTGGCGCGCTATACATTGCGTTTTTTTTTTGTATTTTTTTAACTTAAATATACAAATGATTCCCACGTATAATATATTGTAACATTACTTGTTTGCGTGTACAGAATGCGTAGTTTTAGTCTTTGTCATAGGATTTTTTACACCCTGTATTTACTTTGGGGCTAGACGTATTCATTATGTTTGCGGGCAGTTAATACAGCAGGGCGGGTTCTGGAGCGGCGGCGGTGAGGGTGTCGGGGAGGAGGGCGGGGCCGGGTGGTGGAGCGTGCCCCGCCTGAGGGTGGTCGCCACTGCGGTCGCTGCACCCTACTCGCCGCGCCTCGATGCTGCTCTACCCCACCTCACTCTAAAGTACCATTAAACAGGGCGTCCCACGGGTACCTCACACGGAGGGAAAGTATATTAAATATTGAAGATAGAATATTTTACTGAAAGAAGACATCATTTTGTTTTTAATGATAACTAGAACTGCATTCAAAGATTTTTTTAAATCGCCTACTTCAACTGGGAATCAAACTCGTGAAAGGACAATGTTAAAATTGGCCTAAGAACCAACACCAATTTGGCATTTATGATAATTCTTAGTATATTTTTTGCGATAATTATCAGTATTTAGATTGTGACGGACACTTCCAGTTAAGTAAGCTAAATTAAAAAGTTAAAAAATAATCTGAGACAATAAATACCATTTTTTGTGTATAATCTATGGCAGCGCTGCAAACAAAACACTCTTTCTTCCTAATGCCGGCACTTCACTTGGCTATTCGTATTTGCTAATTTAAAACATGACATCAGTCTGTCCTTTTCATTCCTTAATAAGCATGACAAGGACAAACTGTTGTTAAGTGAAGGGCCGGCATAAAACTCGTTACTCTGTGGTTGTGGTGCATGCAGATTGCATTCGTAGTAATCTGTGACATTCGTGCATTCCAAAGAGTAGCGGCAAACGGCCGACTGTCGGCAATTTTTATTACCCCCTTCAAGCGGCAAGGGGCCGACTGTCGGCAATTTACTCATGCGGCACGCGACCGACATTCGGCCTTTCATCGTTTTTCTATTCTACCTTCATTCATATATCAATTTTTAGAGGAAAAAACGGGCTAGCTATCTAGCCATTGATTAAAACAACTGCCATATGAAATATTTATACTGTTATCTGTCAAAGTTCGTCGTTCGCCGTTTTTTGTATGAAAAAAAATATGCCGTGTATTCAGACTATCTTAAGTGCTTTTGAGTGGTTTTAAAGAAAAAAACACCATGCCTGGTTAAGTTAAATACATTTAGTTACTCTATTTTGATGTTTCGTTTGCGGGTCTCATTTTTTTTGCAGACGCGGTCGCAAAAAAATCAGAAAAAACTTAGGGGTACTTACCTTATGTTTTCTTTTGATATTTTCGATAATAATTGTAATGTTTGAATTTTTAATTATTGAATAAATTATTCATGATTAATACTTCGAATACAAAGAATCTCTTGAGTTCGTATTTTTGAAGAAATAAAAAAAAAAAACAAAATCCGCGCGGTGGAACGGTCGTTCGAAATTCAAATACACGAACGAAATATTTTTTTATATTATTTTCTTGTATGTGAACTAATGATTAGTTTTTGTTTATTCTAAAGCAAATTTCGCGTACATATTGATAAAAAGAACTGTTTATCGAAATTGTAAATACTTTTCGTTTTATAGACATAAAACTAAGATGACTGATTTGTAGGCGATTTTTAAATGCCTCGTTGTAAGTTCTTAAACCTAAAAAATGGACAAACGTTATTCATAACAATCTTGGTTGTAATGTTATCTTAACACTCGGAGTTAATGGGATAACATAAATCAGAGCCATTCAGACCCCGGTTAATCCTTATCGGGCCACTTGAAATCGGAGCTTTGTTTATACTACGCGCGGTTGTTTACACAATTGGCGCGCGCGGAATGTGAGAGCTGTAGTATAAAATTAAATTGTGGGAGTATAGTATTTTATGATTTTATTTGGTAAGTTAGAATGTGCAAATAACCAAAAAATCTGGACATGAAATTTTGAAATTTTGAAAATATACTCCATTTTACCCATCTAAACGCCTTTTTTATCTTTCCCGAGTTTACCGTAACGTAATTAAAATAGATTATAGACATGACGCATTATTTAGACACTGTTTTATAGTAAATTTTATGGAGAATCCAAATATATATAGTTTGTGTAGGGTATTCTTACAAAATAACAGAGAAATCGGCAAAGCAATGCAATCATTCCCACCCCGCGGGGGGGCTCGGTGGGTGGTCTGCCGCTTGAAGGGGTGTGAGCGGCGCATGCACATGGCCACTCGAGATTGCTTATATATATATATATATATTTGCGATCGTTTTTCCTTTAATTCAACTATTTCGGCTATCTAATATGCCATCGATGTTACCAAAGAGCAGAGCCCTTATTACCAAGTGCTAGTGAACCTGTGCCACAACATCCTGAGAGGATCATACTGCCAAATTATTCAAGAACACCTGATACACATTCACGCTGCATATTTACACAATAAACATGTGATATACAAATAAATACAATATACAATATGATACAATTATGTGAAAAATAGTCAATAAGCAAAACTACAGTTTTTATTTTATTCATGATTCCTACCTAAACAAGTTTTTCCTAATAGTTATTCTTTAAAATCGCACCGGATAAAATGAATTAGTTGTAATATTAATTCACTTCATACGGAGTTCATACTTAATTCATAGGTGGACCTATGTTTCATTGAATATTAAACATAACCTCAAAAAAATTTTAGTTTTCCTAATAATTTAAGTTCTCAGAAGTGTCCGTCAATAATCTTTGTTTTTACAGTCATTAACTTACGATTTTGAACCTAGAAAATAATATTTCATGATTGTTGGTTAACTAACTTAGGCTAACTATGTATGGACGCTGAACAATGTCCTTTGAAAAGTACACATGACGTATTTTATGATAACCGTTGAAAGGGTCGCAAATCGCAAGGATTATTTATTCCTAAATAACATACCATTTTGAATGAAAAGAAGATCATAAATTAAAATTTTGTTCAGGAAAATTTCCTCTTACTTTTCCGTGGTTCCAACAGTTTATGCTCAATTGATTATACAGGATTACCTTACTATAAGTACCTGAAAAAAAAAGTGATACTTATACAAACCTAGCACAGTTTCTTTGTTATTGTAGTATTTGCAATTATTAAGAAAAAAGTCTTTTCCTGATTTTTTTTTATTTAAAATACTATGTTATTTAGGAAAAAATAATCCTCATGATTTACCCTTTCGACGGTTATTTTAAAATACATGTGTTTTTTTGTTTTACATTTCACAAGTTTGATTCCCGGTTTTGGTAGGCGAATTTTTAAAAACTGTGTGTAGTTCTACTTATTAATTCAAATAAAATGTTGTCTTCTTTCAGTAAAATATCCTATCTTCAATATTTAATATACTTTCCCTCCATGTGACAAACCCGCGGAACGCCCTATGCGTGATACATGCATAGTTATAAGTTATAGTTATATTATCACTGTTTGTTTTCCTAATAAAATAATAGTTCTTTATGCAACTGTTGTATAATGAGGGGTATTCAAACACGAATGTGGGTTGGGTGGGTGATAATAGTATCACACGAGTTTTTAATATCTAATTATAACAGTTGTTAGCAAGACTTTATCTACACCCATGATATGAATCCTCTAAAACATTCTGAAATCATGGGGCGTTCTAAACTGTGGTGGTAGTGAAGAGCGCGCGAATGGCAATGATCATGATCATCCAGTAGTGAAAATTTAAAGTGTGTAAAAGTGAAGGGATGTAAAAAGTGAAACAGTGTTATTATGAAATTTATTTAAAAAACGAACTATTATAACACCCAAACGTTTTTTTTTGTTATGACATTGGATGTTTTAATGTTGGCAATAAGCATTGGTATATTAATATTTCAGGTTCTTCCATAGAGGTTTAAAAAGCATGGGTGTAGATAAAATAAAATAAATACCCCAGCAAATTTCTTCTCCCTAATTAACAAACGAGGAGGAAAGGCTTTGATTAGTTAGCAGTATTTTATTCATATCAATCAAATGCCGCTTCTCATTCAATGGATAGAGACAAAACATGGAGTAACAATTCAAGCTTATTCTTCGTTTATTAAAAAGGGGGTTAGAGCATGAACCATGAACAGCGAAGTCTACTCAGCAGCAAATATACATAGAAAATTGTCTACTGCGCAAGTTTATTTCTCTTGTTAAACAACTTTGTCGCTACCTATACTCCACAATCACAGCACCTTAACTAGAATCCGCATTATTAAGTAATTTTTGTTTGAAATCGAAATTGCTTAAGTTGAGACATGCGGGTAGGGTAACATTATGTGAAACGATGTATCGCCACGTTTGGAAGGTTTATGCAATATTGCTGTTAAGGTTAGCACAAGCGGATGCCCTTACATACAGTCATCAGTAGGTGCTTAGTGCGATTTTAATTTCTTATAAAATATATTTTTTCCTTCTATCATAATATAGCACTTGATCAAGAATAATGAGAGCAAATATAGACCCAATTTTATATTCACACCGGCTAATCCAATAATTTGGAAAGTTCTATAACAACTCCAACTTTATGACAAAAAATATTTTTACATTTGATGACTTTTTAAGCTTTTAAGATCTTCTTCTATAAACATTTTATATTGTGATCTGTATCATTCACATATATTGTTATAAAAACTATTTACAGTGAACCAGATGATGAGGAGTTACTGGAAATAACGAACAACTACTTAAAGGAGAGTGTTTCCAAGAATTTCTCCTCAAAAGATTTGTCTCATGTCGCAACAAATATGCTCTCTATGTTCAAAGAGGTAATCAGTTTAGTTTGACAAGCTTGCTTAATGAGGGTTTTCTGGAATGATAGGTGCCAGCACTGAGGCGAAACCAAGGTCTACTCATCTATCAAATCGCGTACGTCGTCATAATCTATGGATCAATTGAAATGCTCGTTCGATTTTATTCGCGTCAAAAACTTCAACGTCACAGTGGCTCAATCTTCCTAAACACCCTCATTTCTGTATTTTAGTGGGTGGGGGCCCTAGCTCATAATATGCACAAAAATCTTGTCAGCAGTGTTAAGAACTCCGTAAGAGTTCAATCTCAAGCAAGATTTTTTTTGAGTATTTGTCATTGTTGTCTTGTTTTTTTTTTTGTTGTTTTACAAAAACATTCCATGTTTTACATCTATCAAACGTCCTGTGAACGGCTGAACCCTTTTCAGTGTAATGTATAGGTAATGAAATAAATATTGATTTTTATAGTATCATAGTAACCCGGAAACAAAATATTGTATCTTTTGCAGGTGGTTGAAACATTTACTTCGTACGCACATTACAATTGGAACGCCGATCATCTGAAGAGATGGTGTCAAAATATAAAGTGGTATAGGCCATCTAATAACACGGAATTAATAACGGTAAAACTATTTATAGAAAAGTTGTAGCAAAAATAGCATTTTCACGCTTAAACTGCTTAACCGAATTAGATTAAATTTGGTATAGAGATAGTTGAGTCCCGGGAGGGGACATAGAATGGTTTTTATCCTGGAAATGTTCCTTTCAGGGGATTAAAAGGGGGAGATTGGAAGTTTGTATGGGAAAACATTTTTTTCAAACTAGTAGGTGCTTGTTACTCACAGCTATATAAGTTAACCTTTTCTTTAATTCAAATTGATATAGTATATGACTAATAATTTATGCATAATCATCTGCCAATGTGTACGCAAATATACCCAAAATATTTTTCTTAACAGGCTGTATACACTGAAGCTAACGCAATTTTTAAAGATAGACTGGTATCTGACGATGAGAAAGAAATATACGCAAACATAGCCAAAACACATTTAAAGGCGAATGCAAGTGAAAACATTTGTTACGCGCCGAAATTAAAGGGAGACGGAGTATACATGGAGCCTGTAGAATATACCGAATGGTGTCAAAGGGCGCAGAAATTAATCAACCAATGTTGTAAGTTTAACTTGTTCCATTCAATTCCTAAATCCTACTTAAGATATATCTCAATAACTTCTTAACAAATTGGATCGATTGCTCAACAACTGCATGCGTTTTATTTTTTGTCTCCGTAAATACGATCACGTTTCTGCCTTTCGGAAGAAGTTAAATTTGTTAACAATTTACTTTAGAATACTTTCTACGTTATATTCAATCATTAATGATTCATGTGCTCCTGGATATTTGAAATGCAAATTTCGTATCCATAATCTCAATCGTCGGTCTAGCAGCAAACATACTCTAGCTATTCCTTCTCACCATACTGGTTTGGTTTCCAACTCATTTTCTCTTCAAGCTATACGACTCTGGAACGCACTGCCTCCTCATATTCAAGATGCTCCGAACAAACTAGCTTTTAAACGCTCCGTACGTTATCATTTATTAGATTCCTCCTCTGCATCCTCCTGATATGATATAGATTTGTATGTAAATTCATATATATATATATATATATGTAAATATTTATTATTATTTATGTATTTATATAGATATGTATTGTATGTTGTATATATATATTATCTTGTTTTTAAAGATATACTTTAATTATAATAAATAATTTGATGAATTCGTTTTGCACCAGGTTAAGTTCCAAGTTGCACTAGTTAAGGTTAGGTACCTTCTTAAGATATTTTCTATAATTCTCCGGTTGACTGGTAGAGAATGCCTAATGACATTAAGTCCGCCACTTGTTCACTCATTTGTGGAATGAATAAAGTATAAATTAATAAATATACACACAAACTACAATAAATATTAAAATTTACAGTATCGGAAAACGAAAATGCTTTCGGCGACACTGGCATCGAAGTCTGTAAGGAGTTAGTGGTTTTATACACATCTATGGCGAGGGCGGTAAGTAAATTTTATCTAAATGTAAAGTGAAACTGGGCAGATAAATTTGAAAAATACGAAGCGCTTGTGCGGCAAATAGTTCTTATTCGTATGGCTTAGATGTAGCGGCGATAAGTCTTTTTCTACTGAGTTGTAAATTTTAGTGCGATGCCTCTTAGTTCATTTCTCTGTCTGTCTATCTATTCACATAATAAAATGGAAGGAAAGTTAAAACTGTACATTGAATATTTTTTTAAAAGAATACTTGGGATGTGATCTACAATCGATACCGAAGCCAAAAATATAGTTTTTAGAATTTTTGTTTGTTTGTCTGTATGTATGTCCTGGATAAACTCAAAAAGTACTGCATGGATTTACTTTAAATTTGGCACGAATATTATTAAGAAGTCGGGTCAACATATATGTTAATATTATCACGCTATCACCTACGAACGAGGGGAACGAGCAGTGAATCTTTATTTCTAACTAACTGCACGCGTATCGCGGGCGGCCGCTAGTATATTATCTGTATGTCTGTCTATATATACCGATGTAATTGTCCTGTATTTGTGTACATAGTGTGGTGCGGGACGGGCACGTATATGCGTGGGGAGTAGCGGGGTGGGGAGGCGTGCCGCGGCCATGTTGGCGGCGTCGGCTCTGCCCGCCGCTCTGTATATCGTACAACAACCGCACAATTTCTCCGCTACCGTTAAGAACGTAAGTTGTATTTTATTTTGAACGAGCTGAACCGAGAGAGCTGAGGAGCTCGATGGCGCAGGTGGTTAGCGCGTTCGGCTGCGATCGTTAAAGTTAAGCAACTTTCGCAATGGTCGGTCATTGGATGGGTGACCAAAAATCTTCTATCTCGAGTTCCTCCGTGCTTCGGAAGGCACGTCAAGCCGTTGGTCCCGGCTGCATCTGCAGTCGTTAGCACCCGCCTATCCGCACTGGGCTCGCGTGGTGGATCATGACCCAATCTCCCTATTCCATCCATAGGGAAGGCCTGTGCCCCAGCAGTGGGGACATTAATAGGCTGATGATAATGATGTTGAACCGAGGTTTCAGTTCGGTTCAGCAGTATTTATCGAACAGCAAAGCAGACCTGAAGTAATTACTGCCGATCATTATGATTTGATTCATCTACATATATTCGATTTTACCGCCCGACTGCCCGATAATGCCAGCCCACCCTCACCTGTGTAATATTATGAGTTCACTAATGGGTATCGACTGTGTGGTTTTGATTACTTAGAAAATTTAGTACACGGTTAAAAATAGCCTATGATCGTCTCCAGGGTCCTATCTATCTCTATACCAAAATTCAGTATAATTGAGTCAGTAGTTTAGGCGTGAAAGAGTATGATATATACGTTTCACGCTTAATATTTCTAACACTCACTCCAATCAGCCTAGCACGAAAGTACAGACTTGTGTTATGTGGAGATACTAGAGTAACGGATAGAAATACTTTAAATAGTACGTATGTAAGTATATTTTTACGATATAATTCAACTCGAGATTTGAACGCAGGACATCTTAGTTAAGCGACACCCCGAAAACCGTTGTACATATTACACGCATCATGGAGGTTGTTAAAAAGTTTTTGACGATGTAAACAATAAATCTATTATTATGATAGGCTCTCAGTTCCGCGGGTGAAGGGGCGCGAACATTACTTGTAATATGTGGGCTGGCGGTGACCAGCACCGAGCTGTCGGCCATCGAAGCCGTGCAGAGCGCTAACTCGATGCACGCCATACCCGCGCAGATGATGCCGGCGCAACAGTCCACTCAGACGCTGCTCAGTCAGTATATCTACCATTATAGTATAGGCTCATAGTTCAACGGAGAAGGACCAACACCGAGCTGTCGGCCATCGAAGTCGTGCAGAGCGCTAATTCGATGCACGCCATACCCGCGCAGATGATGCCGGCGCAACAGTTCACTCAGACGCTGCTCAGTCAGTATATCTACCATTATAGTATAGGCTCATAGTTCAACGGAGAAGGGCCAACACCGAGCTGTCGGCCATCGAAGCCGTGCAGAGCGCTAACTCGATGCACGCCATACCCGCGCAGATGATGCCGGCGCAACAGTTCACTCAACACTGCACAGTCAGCATCTTTTACCAAACAATATACCATGATAGGCTCTCAACTCAGCGGGTGAAGACTAGCGTACATTGATCGTAGTATGCGGTATGATGATTGATGGTGCTTTGCTTAAATGTGTTTAGTCTGCGATTCGGGAAGCTAATCAATAACCGAAATTTTAACTCGAGTTCCTGCTTGCTTCGGAAGGCACTTTTAACCATTGGTCTCGGTTGCATCTGCAGTCGTTAGCATCCACCAATTAGCATTGGGGCTGAGTGTTGGGTCATAGCCCAATATCCCTATTCCATTCGTAGGGAAGGCCTGTGCCCTATTAGGGACATTAATAGGCTAATGATAATGGTACTTTTTATGAGATTTAATAAAACTATAATAATTTATTTGATTTTTAATGATATCGTGGTATTAAATAAATAAAATAAGTATTTCCAACACACTCACCAATTAGCCTAGCCCCAAAGTAAGCACTAAAGGCTTGTGTTATGGGATACTAGGGTAACGGATAGAATACATATATTGTACATATATAAGTATATTTATATAGAAATACATATTAAACATCCATGACTGGAGTACAAATGCACGTATTCATCACACAAACATCTGCCCCCACCGGGATTCGAATCCGAAAAAAAATCGAATATATGAGTCGGCAGCACCATGAAACCCGGCGTACAAACCACTCGGCCGTGGAGGTCGTCGCAAGACGGTACTCAATATTGCAGGATGGAATACTGCAAGTGTCTATTCGCTATGGAGGCTATTTGCCATAAAACAAAAAAAACATCCCAAATAAGGTACAACCTAATGAAATGCAATAATCTGAGCAAACAATACTGTAATAATACCATATGATATTATTATATTAACTAAGCATTTTGTTTTCAAATATAAAAACCAAACTGAATCTCGGTGTGGTAATATCTCTGGATAAAAGGCATGATAATCTATGGGAGTTGACATTCAACTACCCGCTATTGTACAACGCGGTACACGTGATATGGATAGAGCGCTAGTCGGACGAATATTAACCGAGCTCTTATTTTTTCAAATGAACTTTCAGACATCAAACAGAACCTCGGTGTGGTAATATGTCTGGATAAAGGGCATGAGAATCTATGGGAGTTGATATCCAACTACCCGCTATTGTACATCGCGAAACATGTGATATGGATAGAGAGCTAGTCGGCCGAATATTAACCGAGCTTTTATAATTTCAAATAAACTTTCAGACATCAAACAGAACTTAGGTGTAGTAATATGTCTGGATAAAGGGCATGAAAATCTGTGGGAGTTGATATCCAACTACCCGCTATTGTACAACGCGGAACACGTGATATGGATAGGGCGCTGGTCAGCCGACACTCTCCGCCAGATGCCGCCGCTGGTCATACAGAGGTACCGGGAGTTCTATGCACTTGTGCCGCCTTCCACATATGTAGTCACAGGTAGGTAATGCACTGATGCACTTTCACATTTTGTAAAGTTGTAGGTATAATCACTTATATGTATTACACACTCACAAAATTGTTTTACACAGTAGTCAAAATATTTTACACGTTTAGTTAAATAGTTTTACGTAATCACCAAAATACTTTAGATCCTCTGCACACAAGTTTTTATTAGCGCCGTCGACGCGTTATTGTAGAGATACAGATACGATACTTACGCATGTGTGCATGAATGTTCAAACGACAAGAAACTGTGCTTTAGGATAAAAGCGTGCAATCGACGCGCGTTACAGAAACGTGCGTTTAAAAAATGTGGTGTGCACAGGCACTTACACTAATGGTTTCTTACTGAAATGAAGCCAAATACTTCTTTATAGAGTTATTTATAGCTATCAAATACACCCATAATTTTTAACTTGTTTGTCAAGTGTTGAAGCCATTTGTTAATTGCATTATTTCAGATTAGTGAAAGAGAGTGTTACCGATACACCCAAAGAAGAATTACAAACAGTACCCGCCGAAGGTTTCGTACAGATATACGAAAGCCTTGATACCGAGTACATGCGAACGCCGTGCAGGTACATCGGTTTCATCAAAACGTACTTCCACATCGTGAACCGGAAGAAGCAGTCGTTGACACAACGAAGGAACATGCTTACGGTGAGAACGAAAATACAGAATAGGATACAGATTGATTTATATCTAAAATAATCTAATAGTCCAAACACGTAAAAATCTAATAAGGGGTTTCAGGAATGACGGTCGCCAGGTGGCAGCACTGAAACGAAAGGTTTCATCCGCGAAATTTCTTATCGTCATAGTCTATGGATCAATTTAAATGCTCGTTCGATCAATTCGCGCCAAAAACTTCTTACTTTTTTTAATGCATACACATGCTTGTTAACAGAAGTAAACGCGAATGAATGAATGTGAAGTAAATAGAAACGGCTTCACGTCACTGTGTCTCCAACCAGTGACGTAAATTTTCCTAAACACCCTCATTGAATACAAATCAAAAGAAACTTTAACCATCTCAATTCAATCTTAAGCTAAATGTATACTTATTAAATGACATACAAACTATATTATGCTACTAGCGGCCGCCCGCGACTTCGTACGCGTGGAGTTAGTTATTTGCACATACTTTTTGACCCCAAAAGGGTTCACTGCTCGTTCCCCGTAGGTGATAGCGTGATAATTATTTACCTTTCTAACATCCTAATAAAAAGTGATTTTTGTGCATCAGCATCACCCATCGGATTTTGCACAGGATAACTTCAGTTCCTATTGTGTTTAGCAGGTACAACATATATATTTTGTTTTTAATCATGACTGTCTGCAGCGCATGCAACAAGACAATTAAATCGGCTGACAAGATCACTTGTTCTCGCAAGACATGCTCTAGTCACTATCATTACCTGTGTGTGAACCTTACCCAGGAAAATTTCAAAAAACAAACAGCGTGGACATGCCCCCTTTGTAACAGTGTTCGCCCGAAGGGTGACAATAGTAACACCCCAGCTAAAGCTCTAAGCCCAGTTGAGCTTCCTACGCAACACCATGCCAGCGATGAAGCCAGCACTAACGTTACGTGTCTGAAGCCCACTAGCACTTCTGGGCAAGAATATAACCAGGATAAAGAACTCCGAAACGATATTCGAGCAATCATTAAGGAAGAACTGAATAACACTTTACGTACCCTGCTAACCGCTGAATTCCAAACCATAATAAGTCAGATAAGCGGCTTGGAGACATCCGTCAGCTTTGTGAGTTCACAATATGAGTGTACGGGACGCCGGGCTGTCGCAGTAGCGGACAGTTACCGACTCGTACTGAGGGGTGGAGGAAGTTACACGCAGGAGTCTTGACTGTAGTGGACTGTAGTTTCGGCGAATAAAACCCCTGGTGTTCGGTATTGAAGAAATCGGTGGGCGCTGATAATGGATGGCCGGTGAGAGGAGGCTTCAGGTCCAGAGTGAACCGCTTGATTGTTTCTTCCTGTTCCTTATGGTAGGAGCGCCTGTCGCTGAATGCATGTCGGAGCATGTTCCGACTCCAATTTTATATGCTAGGACTGAGCTGGCCAGCGATCCATTACCTCACCCACGCTATACTTTATTTTTCATTTTCTCGAAAATTACATTAGTGCGAGCTTAAAACTAATTGTACATACATCGGGCATACATATAGGCATATTTTTAACACAGTTATGTGTCCGTAAGCATGATATTTTAGGTGTGGCGCGCAAAAAATAGGTCTCCGCAATATTTATACTTTCCCCCTCCATAGGGTTTCGCCCTGCCACGGGGCTTCGCTGCCCCACCCGCGCGCTCCGGGCGCGCCGGGTGGGGAGCGCCGGGTGGGGAGCGCAACATGTCTCAGAAAACGGTTCTATACAAACAGATTTTGTCTCCTACACGGTACATTTTTACATTTATTGATGTGATACCTATTTATTTACGTAGCCCTATGCGTTATCTACCTAATACAACAAATTTCTAATAAGAATATCAATAAACAACAGCTCTACGGCCCTATAAAGTTTACAAATTAAAAAGTCTTAAAAAACCTACTTACATTCACTTAATGCCTAACTATCATATACCATTTTATAGAAGAAGTAAAAACACACAAAATAACATCATTATTATAACAATTATACCTATATCCTATCGACTATTCGTAAAAAACTATTCCCAATATTTTCCTTAATTACGCCTAAACTACTAACACGATTTATACAAAACTTTGATATATTATTCTTATAACTACCTATTTTCTAATAAGACATAAAATAGATCAATCAAAACATAAAACATATTATTATCGAAAACTATCAACTCAGGCAAAATCCTATAAGATGTGAGACAAGGACAACCTATTGTCTCTGTCCCTCCTATAGGTCGGAACTATCAGAATTCTGACTAGTTTCCCCGCGCCACCGCTTGGCGTCGTGGCGTGGTGACAAAGTCTTATAAGATTGTTGGAGAGAACGGGGCGGAATATCGCTCTGAACTATCAATTTTACAACGGTTTACTATGGGCAGAGCTATCTATTATTGCGATATCCGACTCATTCTAATAAGACAACAAGGGAATGATATTTTTAATGCGTATACAACCGATACATGTGAAATTATAGATACATTTTATACATCAATCTCATATTGTCGTAAGTTCATTTTCTCTCGCTTCGGTCGTCGCGTACAATGAGGATCTGAAGGAGTTAATGATGAGTAACTCTAATGAGCTTAAAGCGTTGAAGGAGGAAAATAGCATTCTGCGTGGCAACTTAACCGCACTTGAACTTCGCGTAAAACATATTGAGATTGAGAGTGCACGTCATCAACAGTGGGCCCGTCTACAAAATGTAGAAATAATGGGTGTTCCCGAGGATGCTGAAGAGGATACATCTAATATCGTATTGAACATTGCGAAACACATAGGTGTTGACGTAGCTACAGATGAATTGGAGTTTGCACATCGAGTTTAACCCTACAATTCTAATAAAAGCTCCATCATAAGAAATATTGTAGCACGGTTCAGGCAGCAATCGACGAAGGGTATTTTTTTGGCTGCAGCGCGAAAGAGGCGTGCCTTCTCCTGTGCTGATGTGGGCTTGGGTGGCGAGGAGTCTAAAGACAGTAAAATATTTATGAATGAACACCTAATCCGAGAAAACAAATCGCTGTTAAGAGTAACTAAGTTAAAAGCGAGGGAAATAGGTTACAAATATATTTGGACAAAAAACTGTCGTATTTTTGCCCGCCGAAACGACAAATCGCCTGCTTTGCCGATATTAACTATGGACGATTTGAAAAAAAATCGTTAATCTCAGTGTTTACCAATTGTTTTTGCTGTATTTTTAACATTAATTCAACTACTAAAGTCATATTTAATCTAACACATCACACACTATACACCTCATTCAACCAACGACCTACTCAAACATTTTTATATAAACTATTTATGGTACAAATTGCCATTGAAAGTATTTATGTCAACGACTGGTGCCAATGCCATCTACAACATTTACGTTTAAAATATATACCGAAATTGAGCATTTTTAAGATGTTTAACAGATTTTGTGCATGTAATGTGTCCACTGTGAAGTCATTATTGTTATTGTTTTGCGATTTTGCCGGATTACATAATAATGTTCAAAGCCTACACAATCTCGGATTCACTCAGTATTCGAACGCGACTATGTTTATTCGCAGTCACCCACATTTTTTCTTGCGTTATCTTGTCCCAACCATACACTCTTTATACATTAGTACGCTTATATATAAGAGCTATTCAAACACGGTCACCTAATCGATATCATGTATAAGTTAATAAATAAGCATATGGCACAAGTAAATGTTGGTGGTAGACATCAATATTCTATGTGGTACAGCCCCGCTTTAATTAAAGTTATTAAAGAAAAATCCAAAATTCTCAAATATTGGAAACGATTTCGGAACCAAATTGATTATATTTCATTTTCTGTGCTTAGGGCTAGAGAGAAAGCACTTAAAGCTAGGTGTTATGAGCCATACATATTGGACTGACAAGAAAAAATTAAACGTGTGCCTAAAATATTCTGGTCATACGTTAAGTCCCGCAGGAAAAATAACTCCTGCTACCCAAGATCAATGGTTTATAATAGTAATAATCTGCCTAATGACCAGCAAATCTGTGCAGCCTTTAATGACTTTTTCTACAGAAATTTTGGCACAACTAGCACGTCGAGCCATACAGTACCACCTCTCTCTGAAGCTCAAAATGATCACCTTTACACTTTTGATGTCGATCCGAATATGATGTCTCTAAGGGTCCTGGCAGTGACATGTTCCTCCAATATTTTTTGTCCGATGTGCGGAATCATTAGTTGCGCCCATAACATTTATCTTCAATAGATGTTTGCGTGAAGGTTTTTTCCCCGATATCTGGAAAACTGCCCACATTGTACCCATACACAAAAAGGGACTTAAGACGTTGGTTGAGAATTATCGGCCGATATCAATTCTTAATGTTCTCAGCAAGCTGTTTGAGAAGGCTGTCCACCATCATGTTTATCCCTTCATTAATCGTATTATCCCTGAACAGCAACATGGGTTTATAAAGGGCAGGTCGACTAATAGCAATCTCGCCGTGTTTTCGCAAGATGTTTTCGAGAGCATTGATGGGGGAAACCAGGTCGATACGATCTATACAAATTTTGAGAAGGCGTTCGATCGCGTCGATCATTTAATCCTTCTCCGTAAGCTTCACGAAATTGGGATACGTGGAGACCTGCTAAGGTAAGGTAGGACTCAAACCATTGAGTCCTACCTGCGCAATCGACGTCAAGCGGTAGCTATGGGTGAACTCAGATCTGATTATGTTACTTTACCATCCGGTGTGCCGCAGGGATCAATATTCGGTCCTCTTCTGTATGTCGCTTACCTCTACGACATAGGTCAGTATTTTCGATATGCCAAGTATCCAATGTATGCAGATGATACGAAGATTTATATGTCTATAAAATCTACGTTGGACTGCCTAAAACTTCAGGAGGACTTAGACAGATTATCAACTTATTACCAAGAAAATAAAATAAAAATCAATGTGATCAAATGTTTGATAATTACCTTTACGCACAAAAAGTTCCTATTGCGTTTGATTATTGTTTGAATAGCACATCTATTACACGAACGTATCTGGTGAAAGATCTCGGTATACTCTTTGATGATAAATTAACTTTTTCTAGCCACGTAGCAACAATAGTCAACAAAGCTTATAAGAATTTAGGGTTTATTTTGAGGATTGGCAAGCCTTTTACTGATACTCTCTGTTTAAAGATTTTGTACTTTGCATACTGTCGTACTATTCTTGAATATTGCTGCAATATTTGGAATCCACAATACATTACTTATAAACGTGACTTAGAATCGATACAGTCAAAATTTATTAAGCATCTTAATTACAGAAAAAGAAATGACTGTCCGGACTACAGGGAAGGATGTCGTTTCCATCATTTGGTCCCTCTTGAGGACAGGCGCACTATGCTCGATATGACATTTCTCTACGACGTTTGCAATGGGAATATAGACTGCACTGAGCTTGCCTCTTCATTTTTAACACTCTACACACCCACTACCCGTACCAGACATACATCATCTTTCTTTATCGCAATTCCTACATGTCGCACAAACTATGCACACAACTCAGTTGTTTTTAGATCGCAAAGTACATACAATAAAAATTTCACGGCTGTTGACATATTTACTTGCAAAAGTAAAGCATCTTTTAAAAAACAACTTTTAGGTCTGTTGGTTGATTGGTAATATACAAACAAGAATGAAACACTTACACATGTATACATATATACACACAAACACACACACACATACACAATATCGCGCACGCATTGCACACATCTCGCCCTTGTTTGGTAGAGGGTTTTCTAAACTAAAAAATGAAAATCCGTAATTGGCATTAAGATAAACTATATTGTTAAACCTGTATTATATTAAGAAAATGCAGTGGATTTTGGTCTAGAATTAAATTCAGTCACATGCTTCAGGTCAGTTACATGCTTTAAAACTAATAAAAATTATAACTAGAATTAAATAAATAAATAATAAAAAATATGTTGCCTATATGTTGACCCGACTTCTTAATAATATTCGTGCCAAATTTGAAGTAAATCCATGCAGTACTTTTTGAGTTTATCCCGGACATACATACAGACAAACAAACAAAAATTCTAAAAACTATATTTTTGGAATCGGTATTGATTGTAGATCACACCCCAAGTATGCTTTTAAAAAAATATTCAATGTACAGTTTTGACTTTCCTATCATTTTATTATATGTATAGATCAAGTGTTTATTAATTGTCATATGGAATACAACCTTAGGCTGGTGTAGAAGCACTTCGCCGCGCCCGCAGTGAGGTGGCAACTCTGCAAGCTGACGCAGCAGTCCAAGAGGCAGCCTTGAACGAAAAACAAGAGTCCGCGAACCGCGCGCTCGAACAAATCTCTGCTACGGTGCGCGCTAACACCGACCAAAGGGAGGAAATGCACGCCCTCAAAACTAACATCGAGGCCGAAAATGAGAAGCTGCAGATTCGGTGAGTTGTTTGTGTTGTACATTTAAATTATACCTTAGGCCAATTTACGATTAGTTTATTTAAATATTTTGCTTTTTCAGAGGCCCAAGCACAAACTTTGACAGCTTCGTAATCGTATCCTCATCGTAATTTTTGAAGTGAAACTTCTTTACGCACGCTTGACTTGGGGGTAAGCTGGTGAATGCGTTACGCGTTACGAAAAGTGTGTTAGAACGGGAGTTGAATGGGGGATATAAGCAAGAGAAAGCAGTGCGCGCGCACATTTTCTTTCTCTCTTTCTCTTATAGCTAGTAAATTCAATATGTTTATGTACTTACATGTATATTGTACACACACACACATATATATATATATATATATAAAACAGATGAAGAAGAAGCAGAAGAAATTTCACTTCAGTCGTGTGGTCATAAGCACATTCCCTTTTTTTTATGGAAGGAGCGCTGCTTTGTTTTCATAGAAACAAACAATACGATACAATGACGAAGCTTTGAAAGTTCATGCTTGAACCTCAGATGTGCGTTATGTTAATCTCTCGTATAAGTCACACGACCACCATCACTAATGTAATGTGGTTAAACTTGATGTTCACTTGCAGAAAAAAAGAAATAGAAGCTGAATTAGCATCTGTTGAGCCCGTCATTGCTGCAGCCCGCGCGGCGGTTGGAGATATCCGCCCAGAATCACTCAGTGAAGTACGTACCTACTTTCAGAAAATTAACATTTGTCACCTCATCATTAGATACGACAACTTTTTGAAAGCCGATATTACGTTATTTTCAGTACCCCTAGCACGAACCATTATCGAATTCGAATAGTTTGCAAACCGAAATGTCATTGTCCGCAAACGATACGAATTCGATATTGGTTCGTGCTAGGGGTACAGATTTGCCGCAGAAACGTTTCTCTGCATAATATAGTTATGTGTTAACGTGTGTGTGACGTCACACGACTGTCATTTAAACGTGAAACGTGTGACGTCATTTCAGGTTCCGCCAATCCCAGGCGTTTTCGGTCACGTGATAATAGTTAGAAAAACTATTATTTATTTCGTGGATTTTTTTAACAGTATAAACCCCTGTCAATATTTATACTAAATAGAGATGTCAGGCACTTTATTTTTAATACTGTCAAATATCGTATTATGTGTAAAACGCCATAGATTAGGTGTTAAATGAGTAAATTATCTACCTCATGCTTAACCCTACAATGGAGGGATACTACATAGATGTAGCGTGAATACTTTTTACTTTTATATTTTTTTTAATGGCTACCTATTTATAAAAAAAACGAATTCCTAGCGCAGGTTATATAAGGACAAATTTTCAGATAAGATCATTAAGGGCGCCTCCAGACGTCGTGCGTGACGTACTCGAAGGAGTGCTGCGTCTGATGGGCATCGCCGACACGTCATGGCATTCTATGAAGAACTTCTTGTCGAAGCGAGGCGTCAAGGAAGACATAAGGTTTATTTTATTTATAAAAATATAAATCTTTAAATCTAAAATAAAATAAAACGAGCAAATATCTAAAATATAAATATCTAAAATAAAAATGTTGCGGTTAAATAAAATACATATACTAATCGTCTTTTTGTACGCCTACCACTAAATCGATTATGCTAAATGTTAGTAAGTGCCGCAGTGACTGAAGGATCCGCTAAGTGTAGCTTGTTTGGCTCAGGAATCAACAGTCTCGTTTCCCACTATACCAGTATGACCAGGGACCCATGCCAAAATAATTTGTAAACCTTGTCGATGACATTCAAATAGAATAGTTTTAATGGACAGTATAAATTGAAATTTTGATTTAGAGCGAAACTGATTACTTACGAGTATATATACTCATTATGGATTGGAGACAACTTTTAGAGTCTGAAAAAATTATTACTTTATTAAGACTATGTGATTTAACAATTTTGAGGGCTTCTAAAATAGCGATAGCTTCAGCAGTGAACACCGAAGAATATTGAGAACATTTAAAGTCAAGGATAACATCATATTTTGGAATCCACACTGCTAACCCGACGTGACTATTATCTGTTAGTATTGAAGCATCCGTTTAAATAGTTAACCAATCGGGCCACTGAGGCCCGAGTCTGCAATTCAAGATGTTTGTGCTGCTGGGGAATTTTTGCCAATATGTATGTCCAAGATTATGTTAGGCTGATAAATTAAAGCTTGATATAGGGTCTCATATAAAGGGTTGAGCCTACATTGATAGACAGGAGATGGTAGCTGAAATAACTTTCTAAAACTAATTAACAGACATGGAAGATTTCTGTGGGACCAGTAGCTACTTGAAGGAATCAGTTGGTTTAACAGATGTAGTTTAGGAATTAGTGGATGCGATGAGCGTTCGAAAATTTTAAATATAAAGGATATTAGGCAAAATTGTATGGACGCTGCACTTATTTCCGCCACGGCTTAAACTACATTTGTTTGAAAGGTATTATAGTCATGATTATCTGTGCCAAAGCGCATCAAATTCCATCCCGGAGGTCTTTAATTATTTTAAGTTAAATATGTACAAGTACTATAACGAACGAACATTAATGAAACAAGGGAATTAATTTAGTTAGTTCGACCCTAAATAGAGGGCTCAGGTAATATGGGAGTACTTCACAAGGTGCAAGGGTACCCCCTTATGTTATTCTGCCGCGCTAAAGTAAGTCCAAAAATCCCCGCATGGGTTGGGGTTTTTTCAAACAGTCTGTTCGTTATAGTAAATTGTCTTCTATGTAAAACTGAGCGACCACAAATCACACAAACTCGTCCACGCTTACGAGAAAACATGATGCCATCCATATTAATTGACAAAACCGATAATCGCGTTCCAATGTCCAAAGCGTGTTAGATAAAATTCAATCAAGTGATATGAGCGCACAATCACAACGAAGTAAGGCTCAACACCGAAAGAAAAACCCAATTATCTAAATTGAACAAATTTGCACTTTTATCACACACTCAACCTAAAAGCAGAGTGGGGGTCTAAGTATAAAATAATTGTTAGGTGCCTGGACGCCAGCCAGATCACAGCGGAGGCGGCGGAGTCAGTGGAGCGTCTATTAAAATCACGGGGTTCCTCGTTCGAGGCGGCGACCGCGCGGCGGGCCAGTGCCGCTTGCGCGCCGCTAGCTGCCTGGGTGCGCGCCAACCTGGCCTACGCCGGCGCGCTGCACCGCGTGCGGCCGCTGCAGCTACAGCAGGCGCGCCTACACAGGTGAGCTGCGTGCGCGGCCATGTACGGGCCGATGTGCGCCAACTTCGCGTATACAACAAGAGCTGGCACACCGCGCGGCGGGCCAGTGCCGCGTGCGCGCCGCTAGCTGCCTGGGTGTGGGCCAACCTGGCCTACGCCGGCGCGCTGCACCGCATGTGGCCGCTGCAGCTGCAGCAGGCGCGCCTGCACAGGTGAGCTGCGTGCGTGGCCATGTACGGGCCGATGCGCGCCAACCTGGCGTATACAACAAGAACTGGCACACCGCGCGGCGGGCCAGTGCCGCGTGCGCGCCGCTAGCTGCCTGGGTGTGGGCCAACCTGGCCTACGCCGGCGCGCTGCACCGCGTGCGGCCGCTGCAGCTGTAGCAGGCGCGGCTGCACAGGTGAGCTGCGTGCGCCCCCATGTACGGGCCGATGCACGCCAACCTCGCGTATACAACAAGAGCTTGCACACGGGTGAGCTTGAAGTCGCCATGCGCACTCGAGTCGTTTGTAATTCGAATGTTACTGCGCCGCGTGTATAGTGTGAACAAAAAATAACATAGGGTTTTTTTTTGCGATCTTAGATTAAGTTTAGTCAAATGAGCGGATAAGCTTATTTCTTTGCCAAATGTCAATTATAATATTGTTACGTGTCGGGATGGGGTTCGAATTTCCAGTTTTTGCTATATAGTTAGTGCTTGACAGTTCTTTATTCACCACACAGTTCACACGGTTCTTAGTTAAATACTTAGATGCTACACCTATTTCTTTAAAGTCCTTATACAATCGCACACGAACACTTTACTTACATTTTGATCGTCTTTGTAACCGTTCCGAAATCGCTGTTGAAACTTAGGTAACTGTACACTATGAGGCGCCGAACGCCAATCGACGCATTCCAGAAAAGTCCAGTTTAATTGATAGTTCATCTGCACTTACGAGTCCTTATACGTACATAGTGCCCATGAGTTGTAAACAAGTAGGCAGATGTCATTGTACTTTCACCCTTACGCCGCACTGCTAAGGCTTATATACGAATGGATTGCTCCACTCGGCCTTCATCGAGGTCATTCATATCGCTGAGTGAATCTGATTCCAGTATGTTCTTGGATTTGGTTCCAGAGCGATCTTGACAATATAATGGATGTAGGAGTAAAATAATTAAAATAAATCTTTTTAAAGTTTAAGTAGTCCTGACTCTAGATGTCTCCACACCATTATGAATCGCAGTGGTAATTCATACATTGTGATTAGGTAAGTAGATTTGTTTACAGATGTATGCAGGTTTTAGTCGGTACCTACCTCATTTTAACATTATACAAGGCCCAAAAATCAGTGTTTTGTTTGTATTTTTCCATAAACAAATCTATCAATTCCCTTTTCTTACCTGTTCCTTTTAAGTCGAACAATATTAACCGCATTTCCTACCCGCACCGTTATTTGTTACAGTGTATATCTCGTTTTTATCACATCTTATTGTCAAATTCAGACCATGACAACTGAGCGTGATAAAAACGTGATATATGCACGGTGCTCTCACTACGGAATCTGAATGATATATTATATATGTGTGACATTGATACTATCCAACCATCTGCTGCTAACAGTAACCTGCGAGAAGCGAAAGAGCAACTGGCCGCGTTATCAAGCGGATTGGCGTCAGTAGAGGAACGCGTTTCATCATTGCAGCAACAATTAGGGCAGCATACGCGGGACGCTGCTGCTTTAGAACTGAAGGTGGGAGCCGCGCGGGAAACCATCGCGGCGGCCACTGCGCTCATACGGACCCTCGCCGATGAATACACGATGTGGGAACATGATGTGAGCTCACGAAATTTGAAAGATAGATTTAAAGTCAACTACACTAGGTGCTGCAACTATAGAGGTATAACAATATAGAGGGGAAGGCGGCTCTAGATTGTTCGTCTAGTAGAAAGAGAAAGAGGATGAGAGACCGCTAGCTATCTCTCTGTTTTGTGACGCTTGGCATCCAATGGCATCGCATCGAAATAGTAAGATGATTACGGTTGCCAATGTGCATGCAAGATGAGAGAGAGTAAGCTAGCGGTCTCTCATCTTCTTTCTCTTTCTATTAGATGGACACTTTCACTTGTAGTAGAGTCTATATCTCCCCTACTCTATTATTATACCTCTATGGATGCAACTCGCTGCACTAGAACTGAAGGTAGGAGCCGCGCGGGAAACCATCGCTGCGGCCACTGTGGTCAAACGGACCCTCGTCGATGAATACACGATGTGGGAACAGGATGTGAGTGATTAAATTTTAAAGTAAGATTTAAAGTCAGATACAGTCAGTGCAGCTATGCGCTGCACTAGAACTGAAGGTGGGAGCAGCCCGAGAAACCATCGCGGCAGTCACTGCGGTCAAACGGACCCTCGTCAATCAATACACGATGAGGGAACACGATGAGTGCTTGAAATTTTAAAATAAGTCTTACTCATTTACACTCGGTGAAGGTGGGAAATCATCGCGGAGGCTCCTGTGGTCATACAAACCCTCGCTGATGAATACACGATGTGGGAGCATGATATAAATGATAGAAATATGAAATAGTTATATAAGATATTTGTGCGATAAGTTGGTTATTATCACAAACTCGTAGATTAGAGTTTGTAATACCAATCCGCACGAATGTCATACAACGTTTTTCAACACATTTGCGGGAAAACATTATATAAAGGAGATTGCTCAGCTTCCATACATGTTTGGCCTAAAGACCAATAATCATGAAAAATTGTTTCCTAGCTTCGAAATAATATATAAATTACTGTAGAAACGAATATTATTGACGGACACCCCTGAGAACTTCTATAAACCATATACACTGAACATATTAAAATAATAAAAAACAAATAAGTTATATAGTAAACTAGGGATATCAAGCCAAATACCGAAATTATGGATTAGGTTCAGGTTTAAAGAGCATGCAGATTAACAGATTGTTGCCTGTTTTTAAAGTTAAAGCATTAGAGTAACTTTTAAAATCAGGTGTCATCTATGCATTTCCGGTTATAATAGGGTATTCTGTGACAGAAACTGTGTGATGATTGTGAATGAGCCACAGATTAGAGAGAATTTTTAAACTCTCGTTAACCAAAAAAAGCTAAGAGATTTAGGTTATATAGCCATATATTCACTAGCTTTGTATACGCCATTTGTGCATGTAAAAAATGTAGTTCATATGTGTCAAAATAGATGGCGCTGTAGCTCTTTGCATCACGCTTGCAAATTTGTTTGGAGCTACATATAGGCAAAACGTCACCAAACTAATAAAGGAATCTATGGTCAAACAAAATCCACCTTAGTTTCATTCTTTTGCACCTAAGCTCTCGGATTTAAGAGTCATTTTGGCTTGAACATGGTCCTTCGAGCCGGCTTCTTCTTCTTCCTTCGTCTTTTATTTTCGACCTTATGTCTATGAAGAAATTTACTTTAAACAAATAGTGGTATTCTTGGAAAAGTGAACCTTATTTCTTAGTGAATTTTAACTTAAACAATTATTTGTGTTATTGTGGACTTAGAAAAATTTGTGTTGTAGATTTAGGAACTTAGAATAGTTTTAAGAAAAGCGAAGGCACGGGGAACCTATGCCCGATTTCGGTCAGAGTTTAATGTTACGCCAAATACTTAGAAAATTTTCAGAAATTTTCCCTTATTAATGTTGTTTGTTTGTGAGCTGGAACTAAGTTTCTTTTATTATTAATGATTGTTTCTGTTTATGAAAAATTGATAATTTAACTTGATAAAAAAAATGGAGAAATTAATTAATTCTCAAGAAGATCTCTATACGCGGCTCACTAAGGCAAAAAGTAATTTCAAAAAGAGCCCTAAATGTGGAATTAATAAAGACTATGTAGACGGCAAAATAGAACTTTTAGAACAAATGTGGTTTGAGTTCTCAGCCGGACATAAGGAATTGATGCGTTCTGTATCGTCGTCGGGTGAATTAGCCGGTACAACATATGTAAAAAATGATGTTTATGAAAAGGCAGAGGAAATATATTTTGAATATAAAATGGACCTTAAGTCCATCCTGTCCACGCTGACATGTAAAGAAAGTAATGAGAAAATGAGTGTTACAGGCTCGGCTAGTTCAAATTTATCACAAGTTAAGCTACCTAAAGTGAAAATTCCAAATTTTTCAGGGCGGTATTCTGAGTGGAATACCTTCCGTGATTTATTCTGTTCTTTGATTCATAATAACAAAGCATTAGGGAATGTCCAAAAATTACTATACTTGAAAGGCTATTTACAGGGAGAGGCTGAACAGCTTGTAAATAATATTTCGATCACAGAAAGTAATTATGAAAGGTGTTGGCAATTACTCGAAGAAAGGTACAATAATAAAAAATACATTTGTCATCATATTTTGAAAAAATTGTTATCACAAAGAAATATTGTTTGTGAATCTGCTAGTAGTTTGAAGGAATTATTGGATACAACGAATGATTGTTTGTCGTCATTGAAAAATATAGGTGTAAGTACAGATACTTGGGATGTGCTCGTAATTCATATTATAACTTTAAAGTTAGATTGACGACAATGGGAATTTTTTGCCACTGATAATAGTTATTCTGAGCTACCTACCTATGAGCAATTTGAAGAGTTTTTGAAAAACCGTTATCATGCCATAAAGTTTTTAGAGGCTGGTACTAAAGGTATAAATAAACATCAAAGCAACAAACTGCCTATGAATAAAATCAAGTCTATGCACATATCAAAGATTGTTTGTCAGTTTTGTTCAGAGGACCATAGGCTTAGTTATTGTAAAAGTTTTATGAACGAGTCCGTAGAATCACGTCGAAGTTTTGTTTTAAATAACAATGTATGTTTTTGCTGCTTGGGTAGTAATCACTCTGCCAAGAGCTGCCAAAGTAATTATAAATGTCGCATTTGTAGAAAAAGACATCACGTCCTCTTGCATCCTATAAGTAAGGGTACAGAAAGTAATGGCTCCTTAAGGGAGAAGGCAACATCAAACGATACTGTCACTTATGATAAGAATTTGAAGCCAAGTACTTCCTCGTCAAATGCTGATAATACTGAGTCAGTTCCTGTGGTTTCTTGTATTTCCACAAGACACGTTACATATAATCAGGTGTTACTAGCGACTGCTTTAGTGAACACAATGGCTAAAAATGGTCAAATATTTACAATTCGGGCATTGTTGGATCAGGGATCCCAATCGTCTTTTATAACAGAATCCATGGTTCAACTGTTGGGCCTAAAGAAAATTCCTGTTAAGGGTCAAATTTGTGGAGTAGGTGGTGAAAATGGATTAGTATCCAAGGCTATGGTTAATATAAAAATAACTTCAAGAGTTGATAAAAATGTTTTAATAGATGTAAATGCTTATGTTCTTAAGTCCATTACCACATTGTTGCCTACAAATAAGATAAGGGCTGTGGAATGGAAGGAAATTACAGAGATTGTTCTCGCGGACCCTGGCTATTACACTTCCAATCGTATTGACATGTTGTTAGGCTCAGAAGTGTATAGTCAGATAATTCAAGATGGCGTAAAGAAAGGGTCACATGGCTCGCCACTCGCGCAATGTACTTCGTTGGGTTGGATATTGTCAGGCGTGGTCGATGCGTGCAGTCCACCATCTGAAAGAACGTTATGCATTGTCAACTTGAGGAAAATGAGCTTCTAAGAAAATTTTGGGAACTGGAAGATGATCTTCCAATGTCAAAAGAAAAAATGTATACTGACGAAGAGAAGCAATGTGAGAAAATATTTGTTGAGTCAACACGTAGAGATGAAAGTGGCAGGTATATAGTGCAACTTCCTTTTAAAGCTGGAGTCCCTGAAGTTACTAATTCATTGCAGATAGCTAAAAAAAGATTATATTCATTAGAAAAGAGGTTGAAGACTGGAGACCTGAAAGAAAAATACAAAGAGGTTATTAATGAATATCTTGAAATGAATCACATGGAATTAGTGCCAGAGTCAGAAATAAAAAATGAAAGGGCAATATACTTACCACACCACGTTGTTGTCCGAGATGATAAAGATACCACGAAGGTAAGAGTAGTCTACGATGCTTCTTGCAAGGGTAGTAACAATCGGTCTTTAAATGATCATTTATTGGTAGGTCCAACTCTGCAATCAGATTTGAGACATATTGTTATGCGTTGGAGAACAAAAGCAATTTGCGTAGCAGCTGATATAATAAAAATGTATCGGCAGGTGAAGATTGATAATAAAGATGTTGACTATCAGAGAATTTTATGGAGAGATGAAGTGGACGCTGAGATTAAACATTATAGGTTGACAAGAGTTACCTTTGGAGTAGCGTCCTCTCCATATCTTGCGGTGAAGTCTTTACAACAAATTGCCAAAGATGAAGGTCATAAACATCCTCTGGCGGCTGAAAAAGTGGTGACAGATTTTTATGTCGATGATTTTATGTCAGGGTGTGAGTCCGTTACAGAGGGATTGAATCTATATAGAGATATGAATGCTTTATTAGAAAAATGTGGATTTCAACTACAAAAGTGGACATCTAATAATAAAGAACTTTTAAAGGCAATAGAAGAAAGTGAACTTAGTTCTAATATAGTTCAAGGAAAAACAGAAATAAATAAAGATAGTTTAAAAATAAAAACAGATGAAATAATAAAAATTGTCGGACTTACCTGGAATAGCAGTGAAGATGTCTTCCGCTACAAGGTGGAGGTACCCACCATTGAAGAACCTGTAACAAAAAGGAAGATCATATCGGACATATCACGGTTTTATGATCCCTTAGGGTGGGCGGGGCCAAGTATTATAGTAGCAAAGCTAATTATTCAAAGGCTTTGGCTGGCTGGTATAAGTTGGGATGAAACAGTACCCAATGAA